CCAAATATTTTTTTCAAAGAAAAGTCCATATTAATTATAATTATACTAAATAAAACACACAAAACTATAATATTAAAACTTAAGAGTTGGAACGAGTTTACCGAATTGACGAACAACTTCTTGAAAATTGAATATCGTTGAAGACTTGAATACTTCAATTCACCAACTTCACAATTTTTTACGAAATTGCAATAATAAAGTAAGCAATTATAGAAGAAAATTAGAGAGATTGATGAATTTGTGAGTAAAAATGAAAGAATAAGGGGGTATTTATAGTTGAGAATAAGGAAAAAGTGTATTATAAAAAGTTTGGGGTTAAAACAAAGTTTGGGGGCTAAATGGCTATTTTTTAAACTTCCCAACGGCTGAAATTAAGGGCCCGTTAGGCCCGGTTGAACCGGCCCAGGCCCTCCTGCCGGTCCCGGGCTCGCGGTCTATTTGTGTAGGACCGTCCCACAGTGGGCCTCAAAGATGGTTTGAGACCGGCCCGTTTGAACCGGAATGTTTGGCCCATTAGGCCCGTGGTCTCACGGGCCCAGGGCGGTCCCGGGCCCGGCCTGGCCCACAATACAGCCCTATGGGGAAGGAATTTCCCTAGTATAAAAAATGTTTGTGAAACTAAACTAATGTTTGTGGAACTTTATTTTTATGTACTTTGAAGTAACATATTCTCTGCTTTGTCTGTTTTTCTTGTTTTTAACTCTGAAACAGGAGATCAAGCAAGTTCATTTTTGTTCTTCTTTCTTCTTCTCAATATTTTCATATGAGCTGCATTTGTATGTTTTGTAAAACTTACCAATGGTTCCATCTAGTTGGTTGGTTAGGAAGTAGAAACAAGAATTTAGCACAGAGAACGTATAACATAGCATGTTTTATAACATAGCATGTTCTTTGTTTTTGAAATGGCATATCATCTAGATGGTGATTGTTTTCTTATTTCTCCCCTTTCTGCAACGTGAAAAGTCTTTACTACTGATGTCACTTTCCCGCTGTTGCTATGAAGTTCCTGCTGCGACCTGCAAAAGATGGTTCCTACTTCAAGAATGTACCAACGTCAAGTGCTATTAAGCTCATTGACTTCGGCAGTACTACGTTTGAACATCAGGATCATACTTATGTGGTGTCTACACGTCATTACCGTGCTCCAGAGGTTATTTTAGGTAGCCACTATCTCATTTCAGATTTGCATTTTTTTAGTTGCTTGCCAGTCTTTTAGTTTGTTTTATGCTGTTTTTATAGGTCTTGGATGGAACTATCCTTGTGATATGTGGAGTATAGGTTGCATACTTGTTGAGCTTTGCTCTGTAAGTGAGAGTTAATTATGTGTATGGTTTTACATTCGTGTTTGTTATTTATCTTGTTTGTTTGTTACGTTTTATTTGTTTTTTTCTCCCAAACAGAGCATTTAAGATATTGAGGATTCTTATAGCTGATCCAAACTAGCTTGGGATTGAGGCGTATTTTTTTTTTTTTTTTTTTT